GATCGGGAAGACCCGAGGAGCGATTTCCACTCGCCCGTCGTGCTGGGCAGGCCGCCGAATTCAGAAGACAGGGAGAGTCCGTCGGTAAAACGGATGAGGATGGACACGTGGGTGACATAAACTTGCAGTGTTGCCTCTTCAGTTTTGTGTTCTCAAAATGAACTGTCCTGACATATCTAAATTTATAAATAAGGACATGAAATAAGTATATTTATATGTATATACATACGTGCATATATATATCTTCACATGCATATATATGTGCTAGTGTGTGTAGCATACACAAATCATCAGGCACTTACGACAAACTCCTTGTATAGCTGCAGATGTCCCATGGTAAAACGTAACAGAACAATCCTGTAGGTATTGATCTAGTCTGGCACTTACCTGGACTTGTTGTTTTCATACTATAACCTGTTTTGCAAAGAAACCTTGTACCCGCAGTATACTCCCACCACACTAGATTGCAGAAACCGAGAGGGCTCGCCTGTAGTAGTGTCCCTGTGTGTTTTACCCGAGCTGTATGGTTACTCGTAGTTAAGAAGTAATGCTTTGTAGCAGCAGAGCAGTAGAAAAGCAGGAAGAAGAAAGCAATACTGTACATAAAATGACCTTTATATTACCCAACCTGGCATGGGTCTCTATTGCAGAGGGTGCATGGAGAAGGGCTGATGCTGTAGGAAATAAGAAATAAAAAACAAAAAAAACAAACCACAAAAACCCTGTTTTGCACGTGCAAAAAAAAAAAAAATAGTGTATTGGGTCAAAGAAGTGATTTTTTTAATGGGTGAAAGAGAGACATAGAGAACTCGCATGAAATATTCAGAAAATATTAGCCTAGAAAATAGAACATTAACAAAATAAAATTAATATATTAAGTTATAATTGGAATATGTTTGACAAATTTGTTTTTACGTTCATACCTTTGAAAAATATAGAAACGGATTTTAGCTCATGTATATTTTATATTAAAGAAAACAATACCCTAATGAATTGAAGACTATATATAAAGTTATATACAGTACTTTTGAACACATTCTGCTATGAATTATTTATATAAGCCAAAGCTGTATGTTGTAGCTTTTTTGTAGAGTATAGTTTTATCTTATTTTGACTTTCTAGTTTTTGCTTTCAAAGATGAAAAGGAAAAACTTGCAGGCGGAACCTTGGGGGAAAAATAAGCCATGAACACTTATATGTAAATTTAAATTTGAGCCAAACTCTTTGTGTATATAGCATCCTAAATATATTATCACCTTTGGTGTAAGTACCTACGTATTGTACGTTCACCAGATTAAAAAGTATATTTTTGTGGATTGACGCCAACTTGAAAAGAGGCGAGGTCCTTATTAAGTAGAGTATTCACTGTTTAATATTTACTATTTTGTTAAATATACTGTACTTTCTTTGGATTTTAATTATTATTAATATTATTATCCAGATTTTTCAGAGGGTGTATAAAGGGGTTGTCCCCCTCACTGGTGGTGAATGTGTGCCGTTAAATTGTAATCTCTGTGCTGTATGGTTAAGCTTCATTATACATTTTATATATATGTATATAAATAGCAAAGTGGCAAAAAAAAAATCCGGCGTTAAGTTCATCCTGCATAAATCTAAAAAATCTGTTACAACACATTTTAAGGCATCATTTTAAAGCTGCCTCTTCTGAGGAGGAGAAAAAAAAAAAACAGTGGAAAAACTTGACCTAATTTCTCATGATAGGGAAATGACACATATCAGAGGAGCACAAAAGGTTTTTTGAAGTCGGTAAGTGGTTTGGGATAAAGCCACAGCCTCTGCCACGAATGTGCTGTTCCTCTTTGCCGCTTCTGTGAGACAGAGCGAGGAGTCCAGAGCCCCAGTGCCCCCCAGCCCTGGCTCGGGGGGTGTCACCCCCTCTGCGCAGGACGAGGACGGCAGGGCCCTGTCCCCGCTCCCGCTGACTTCCAGGGGGAAGCCCGGTTGAGCTGCGGGGAGTGCTGGAGCCGAGAGCTTGGGGTGCCGAGAGCACGGCCGGGCCGGCGGAGCCCATCTCCCCCGAGGGAGCGTTGCCCCCTTCCCCAGGCCTGCTCGCTGTCCCAGCCCTTGCTGCGTGTCCCCCTGCACACGGCCTGGCCCTGGCGCTGGGCAGGTGTAACTGGACCTCACTGGAGGTGGGTCTCGTGCTGGGGAAGAGACGACAGCGCTGGTTTGTTATCCAAACTCCTTCGGAGTCGTCCCGGAGTTCCTGAGGTTTTGCTTGGCCTTTACCTTTATTTTTTTTAAATTTAAATATACTGCACCGAGGAAGTGTGAGAAAAGGGAATCCAAGGGGGGTGGCTCTGCTGTTACTGACCGCAGAACCAAGTCAGCACATGCGGCTTCCGAAACCCATCTCCTGCTGTCATGGTAACTTTAAATAACCCACGCGCAGGTTTCGGTTCAGCCCCTCACCTTTGGGAACGACTCGCTGGCTGCTGTAGTTTGCTGCCGGTTACAGAAGCGCAGAGGAAGATGAGACTCGCTCTCATGGCAACTCGGCTTCTGCAGTGACCGAACTCACTTACCGCTTCAGAGAACCTTTCGTGCTCGGCAGAGTTAGGTGGGGTTTTCGTTATTTATGCACATACGTGAACTTTGCTGTACATCCGAGTGGGAGTTCTGCATTCACATTTACTGTCTATTTTCTTGTGTGCCTTACCAGATGGCTTTGCTGACTGTATCTCAGTAGTCTTTATTTCTATGCAGGTTTTTAAACAGTCCTAGTACTGTTTTCTTAAAGAAAAAAGCTACACAAGGGTTAGAGTTTGTATTGAAATTGCACCAAGGAATTAAAAAAACCAACCCCGCGGTTCTGAAGAACCAGCTGCTCCCGGGCCTGCTCCCAGGCTGCCCCAGACCCTCCGGCAGACGCAGCAGAACGAGCCTTTCCCGAGCGCCCCCGGCTCGGGGAGCGTCTCGTGCTGTTGACAACACGGGAATCCCGATTTTTAATAACGAGCGACTCGCTCTGGAACGTACTTTTTTAGGAACTGTAAAAAGGTTTTATAAAAAAAAAAAAAGAAAAGATGACATAGCACAGGTACTTCAACAGGTGAAAAACACTTTTTTTAATTAACCACACTGAACGGAGTTGCAAGTGGATCCAATCCCAGTCTGACCCTATTGGAGTCTGAATGACGTGGGATTTGTGTCTGTTGTGACCAGTTGCCTCCATCTCCGAGCTCTCACGGTAGCGTTTAAAAATTACACGGTATCAGGGATTCGTCAGAGAAAAATGCCTCAGCCTTTCCTTTCACCTAAAGGACACTAATGCATCCGAAACTTGCGAATTACTGTGCGCACAAGAAATACATAGTAAATAAGGAACAAAACAACTCCTAACAATCGATCATGGGAAGAAGTTAAATTGGAATGTGAAAGAAAGACTTAACAAATGTAAACATTTAAATCTTAGTAGAAACTTTCCTCACTTTGCTGTGCAAGAGAACACTGCTTTGCTATATTTAAAATGGCTTTTTTAAAAGAGATTTATGTATTTGGTAAATGTTTGTAGTCAACAGTTCACAAAGAAGCTGTTCACGGTTTAATGACGATAAGCCGTTTGGCGGCACAAGCTGGACTTTGTTGCCATCCTTGAGACGAATCTTTTAAGAAAAAAATAAGTTAATCTCAATTTTTTTCCCTGAATGTGTTGTTTTTTCTTCAATATACAATAAATATTCTAGTGAACTTTTTATCAAATGGTTAAGAAAATGCTAGAGGTTGTTGTAAAATATTTGTATCCTGCATTCACTAAAGTAAAGATACTGGCTTTTACTGTGTACTCCGGCCTCTCTCGTGTTTGCGGAGCACGTGTTCCTCGGGCCGCACCTTTGCCCCCTCACCAGGTACCTGAAGGGCTCTTGGGATTCCGCCTCGGAGCGCTGGTTTAACGCACATGGATTGTGGGGGATACGTGTCCACGTCATCCCATGCCGCTTGGGCGCCGATGCTCCGTGAGGACCTCACTGCCCCGTGCTCGCGGCCAGCGGCAGTGCTGCCCACGGCAGGTCGGCCTGGTGACCCGAAGGCAAACCCCGCTTCCCTCCTGCCCCTTGCCGGCCGATCGCGTCCCCCCTTTCGCCACTCTCGTGCTGCAAGCGCTGGGGCCAGGCGGGCAGAGGGGCGCCGGGAGGCTGGGGGCGGCAGGTGGGTGGTCACCCCGCGCAGCGCTGCCCCATTCCCGTCCTGCTCTGCCTCAGTGGCCGCGGGTCTGCGTGGTGAAACCAGTGACAAGGAGATGGTCCCTGCGGTGGGACAGGGCGCTGCGAGATGTCTTCTGTGTGAGAAAGACCCCGGCAGAGAGGCGTTCTGACTCCTTGCCCCTCCTAGGGCGGGGGGAGATGCGGGAAGGCACCCGCCGGCCCAGGGGAGGGGCTCAGCCCTGCGACAGCCTGGTCTAGTTGAAGTGACAAAGAAAAGTGCAAGCTGCTGGGGTGGGTGGTGCCCCTTGTGCTTCTGTTTCATTTTGCTTTATTTAAAAATGTAGTAAGCCCCCCTAGAACAAAGAGAGGTAAGTTTCCTTCACAGAAGAAAAATACAAGGGGTTTTTTTTCAGTACAAGATACTTTAGAGTCCTGTTTACAAAACCAGGTTCCCTCAGGCTTTGCTGCGCACCTTTGGCAGCCGCAGGGAACGCAGGTTGTGGCTACAGCACCGCCTGGGTCTGTGTGCTGGGCAGGGTGTTCCCCAAACCCTGGGAACCCCCATGCAGGCGCTGTCGTTGTGCTCCTCCTCAGCCTGGGGAGAGCACCCGTGCCACAGGAGCCTGCACCCAGCTCTCGCCCACCCTCACCTTCCCTCACAAAGCTGTAAGCAAGTGTCCAGCCACTGAGGCTTCCAAAAAAACCCACAAACCCCCAAAAACCAAAGCAGCCCCTCACAAGTCCCCTGCTGTGAGCGCTGCCGTGGCGGGCAGGGTCAGCGTCCCCACTTCGGCGGGTGCAGGACCCACTGGCATCAGGGCAGGGCTGACCCCTGCGCCCCCTGGCCTGCGCCGCTGAACGGAGCAGGCCCTGGGCTGGCGCTGGGCGAGGCAGGGAGGGCACAGGGGCTTTACCCACGGGCTCTGCCCTCACCCCCACGGCAGCAGGACACAGGCCGAGCCCCTGCACGCGGCCCAAGAGAGCATCGTACGCTACCGCAGCCCCGGGCAGGCTTCACCCACTGTGCTGCACAGTCCCGTAGTGTTTGGATCCAGGAGCGCGTTGCCTCTGCCCGCAGTCCCTGAATTTGCTGAACGAAATTTCTGAGGCAAATTCTTCCCTGCACCCAGGCTCCCCAAAGCCTCATTTTCTGCTCACCTCTAGCAGGCGGTGTTGACTGACTTGCCCTAAACGGCGCAGACCGACATCTCGGGGACACCACCGGCCTCCAAAGTCTCACTGGTCTCTCCTACACTTCTGTCACAATCAGCAGCTTCACCGTCCCCCACCCCACACAGGAGTCACGGTCCCTTCTGTGACTAAGCTAACCCAGGGCTGCTCCCCTGGACCTTGAAAATTAAAAGCAGCTTGGCAGCGCTCTCTCACATGAAGCCCACAAGCAAGGAAACTCAAGTCCATGACTGAAATTGGGTATTCGAGATGCACCATTATGGATATCTTTTTTTTTAACAAGTAATACTGGCTAGACCTCCCCCCCTGCCAACGAACAAGCCTTTGAGAAGCACCTGCCCCATACCACAGGCCTAACGCCACGCTCAGGCCTCCTCCAGTGCTCTTTGGCCAGCTGCAGTCGGGCTGCCGGCCTGGCTCCGCAGAAGCAGGAACCCGGCGAAAGCCGTGAGCGCCGCCTGCAGAGACAGGGCCTGGCAGGAGAAGTCACTGACGGCTTTCCTCGAGGCGCACCCTTCCCCGCGGTGGCCCTGAAGCATCCTAGTGAACACATCATCTGCACACCTGGCTGAAAAGGTGAGGTCCTGCCAGCACCCTCACGCCGTGGCACACCTGGCCTAGCACACTGGCAGTCACCATTTTAGGGCTACGTTTGCCAAAACTGCCCTGATCGGCAAGTGATAAAAATGACAGTTCAGCGAAGAAGAGGCCCTGCTGCCACTCTAAGCAAAACGTGTTTTCTTAAACCACAACCACGGCCCAGCTGTCCCCTCACATCACCACGGCACGCTTCAGCTCAGCAGCAAAAGGATTCGCTGCTTAGGCAAGGCGTTAAGAAATACCTGAAGTGACCAAGATGAGTAAATGGCTACAAAATGCTTTCCCACCACAGAGTTCACAAATGTTAAGCCATCTGCCTGATGGTCTTTCTAAGCAACAAAGCATCCTTGTTTTCCCAGAAAATCCACATCACCTCACTTACAGTCAAGTTCAGGATTACAACATCAGCTACTTAAAAAAATAAAACAATCTGTAGTGTTATCCCCCTGAAAGCTCTCAGGTCGGAGTCACCGGTGTAAGGGTCCAGTGCTGGGAGGAGAGGCTGTATTTGCCTCCCTCCCCCCCTCAGGGTTTTTGTCCCATGGCTGAGCTTTGTGGTAATTTCCCTTCCAATCCATCTGCTGAAATATTTGAGGTTAGTGTTGTGTTGTCAGAGGTACGGGCCACCAGGCCTTGTGTTTTAAAATAGATGATATAAAATACTGGCAGGACAATTCCTATCAGGAGCATAATAAAAACGGCGTTCCACCACTGGATTCCACAGTCCGCACCATTACTGGTCTCCTGCTTCCCTGACTGGGGCAGCGGCCTCTCCAGTGCCTCCCCGCAGTACTCGACGTTCAGCTGGGCCTCGGCCTGCACCGCGTCCTGGATGCTCTTGTCAATCCCCTTGAAGTAGTCGCTCAGGTGTCCGCCGCCGGCGGAGCTGCTCGCAGCGGCCTCAGGCTCCGGGAAGGCCATGCGCGCCAGGCCGGTCTGCGCGGGCGCAGCCGGGAGCGGCCGCAGGTCTCTGCCGCCCTCCGTTAACAGCCCGTGGGTCTTCACGGGGATCCTGATGGACTTCAGCGCGTACAAGTCCTGCTCCCGGATGAAGTTGTTGACGCGTTTGATATCCGCAACCTACAGAACCCAAAAAGGACAGGACTATTAGCGAGGGCCAACCCAGCGCCGCAGCAGGAAGAGGCTGCAAAACCAGTGGTCAGGGAAAAAAAAAAAAGCGAGCCCTGGCTGCAAGCGGCTCGGTGTTCTGCAGAGATGTTCCCAGTTGTTCCGGGGGTGCTCCAGGTCCTGCAGGACAGAGACAGTTCCCTGTTAAACAAGTCTATAACCTCCTCCAGTGCTCTCGCATCTCTTACACGCTGTATTTTGCTTGACACTGTCTTTCCTTCCTTTTGCTTTCTGTCTCTCACTGATCTTCTAACCCAAGTTAAGGCAAGAAGAGCCTCTATAACAGACCCTTTTCAAAACAGTTTTCATACCTTAAACAACACGAGTGCTAAGGTGAGAGGACAACATCAGTACGAGCAGACAAACCCCTGCCCCTGCTCAGGAAGTGGTTCCAGAGGGAACAGCTCCACCTCTGGAGCACGCGGCAGTTCCGAAAGCACCCTTGCAGCTGGCAGAGCGCAGGCGAGCATCTCTCCCGCGCAGCCACGAGCATCCTTTGCTCACATTCCCCAGCACCACCCCTCTTCTGCGCCACCACAGCACCCACAGCTCATTGCTCCGCAGCAGGCTGAGGCTCCCGCCAAAGGTACACGTGAGGCAACGACCTTCAGGCATCCGTGACCATCGCTGGCGGCTTGTGTGTCGGGTTCCCACCGGGGACCGGGATTCCCGCCCAGCTCGGGGGTGCAAGCAGCAGTAAGAAGAGGAGGAAAGAACAAACCACACGTGCAGTGTAAGTCACCAGGACAGCCGGTATCAAAGGAAAGACAAAGGCAAGGCAGCGTTTCTTTCTTTAATGTTACATAAAGAGAAGACAGCTTACTGCAGTGACCCCACAACCACCCAGTAAGTACACGAGCTTCTCGGTTGCCTCCAATCCTTTGTCAAAGAAAACGAGCAGGACTGTCAGTGTGTGCAAGGAGCTCTCCAGAGCAGACAAGGAGGCACGGAAGAACCTTGAGGGAAAGGCTGGAGGACGCAAAACAAAGAAAACAGCAAGACCCCAGACCAAAGAGAAAGGCAACATGGAAAGGTTAACCACCTCCGAAACACCACAGACATGGCACGAGGACTGCACTTCCAGAGACAGTCTGATTTGTTCTTACAGAAACCTGTAAATTACTGCGTGAAGGGCACTGGCTGCACCCTCACGAGCCCGAGGCTACCAATGGAACGGGGGAGTTGCAAACAAGGAAGCGCTTCGCTTCTGGAGCAGACGTGTAAGTGCCATCAGCGCCAACATCCTTGCTGGTTCAGGGCACAGATCTCCTTGTGGGAGCCTGAACATCTCATCTGCCACCGCAACAACCGTTCAGGGGTACCTGCAGGCTGCGCTGCCAGGAGCGGGGAGGTGCTGCCAGGCAGAGCAAGGAGGTGCCCCGGGGATGGAGGTCGCACAGGTGGAGGGCCGCGCAGCGGGGCACCGCAGAGGAGCTGCCTCTCTCCGCGGGTCTCGCCTCCAGCCCGTACCAGCTGCCGGGGAACCACCCATCGAGCACATCCACCCTGCAGTCCCTGAGAGGTGCCAAGGCCGCTGCCTCACGGGCAGAAAGCAAGACTGTGCTGAAAGGCAGAGATTAGATGAGTGCCTGCCTGTCACGTTTACTCTGCAAAGCTTGAGAAATTTGAAAACGGGAGGTTTAATCTAGACCCTAACCTGGCGCCCCCGAGGCAAGAGAAATCCTCAGTTGCTGGTTCAGGCTCCTCACGGCTTGCCCCAGCGTAACATCGGGACTTAAACCCTGCACAGTTATTTAGTTCTGAAATAACAATCTCACCCAAAGCCTCCTAACTGAGGTGGTGCTTCAGTTTTTGGTTTTGTTCCAAGGAAAACAAATTATTGGGACAGCAAATATCCCCCGCAGTGTCTGCAATCAAACACTGCCTGTTGTGCTAAGGCTCCAGAAACTGAAAGTGGAGCAGCACTCGCACAGAAACAACAAACAAAGCTGGTGGCAAGCATGCAAGAGCACTCGGCTGCACAAACCATTTGGGCTTATTTTCTGTACTCAGTTTTTTGGCTGCAGTGAGCTTGACTTGTCCCAGCTAAGAACAATGCCAAAAGCAGGCCAGGACTATAAATGGTCAAGAGTAAAAATGAGAATTTTGAAGTGCTCCGCATCACTGCCAAGTTAGCTGTAGCACACACAAAGCTATTTGTTGCGCTGTCTTAACACCCCCACCCCAAGCAGGCCCTGCTGGGTCTGAAACCCATGACAAGTTCTCATGGACTTCAAGGAGAAGCTCATCCTGGATTTCTTAAACACAGTTGCATATATTTGTAGCTACAAGTCTCCCTCAGTGGGGTCCTGGTAGCCTTTCAGGAGCTGCTTAGTTGTGCAAGTAAAACAAAATATATGAAAACTGACCAGTGCCAGTCTGTAAACAGGCAAACACACGTTATCCCCAATAATAAGGATTTCTGTACCTCTTCAGTACAACTGGAACAAGTCAGAAGTGCCCTTTCTGGATGGGAAGGAGGCAGTTGGACAGTTGGACACCAGACAAGCCCAGCGGCCTCCGGCAGGGCAGGCAGAGCCGATGCACCCATGCCTGCTGGGGCCGAACGGCCCCGGGAGCAGGGCAGCAGCGGAGGCAGACAAGAGTCACGGCAGGGACGGGACTGAGTCCTCCCGAGTTACAGTACAGGGGGCACAGTAGGCTTTTTGTGCCATAAAGCCAGGGGGTTTCAGAATCTTCCTCCTTTGAGGTCACCAAACCGCTGTGATTCTGCCTAAGTGGCAGTAACGACGCAACTGGTACTGCTGAGACGAGCACATCGTCACAGCCGCCACGCCAACTGCTGCAGCTCTGCGCCCTCGGGCTCTACCGGCGCCCTTCGAGGCCTATTCAAGTCCTACCAGACTCACTTCTTCACACGCATCAGGCTCTCAGCAGAACCTAGAAGGGTTTCTTTTGTGTTTTGGTTTTGTTTCTAAGGGAATGGGAGGGGAGGACTTGTCGCAATTCCTCTTGCCTCAGCTGCACCCCACAGCTGCTGTGTTATTAAGCAAGACAGACTGCAATAGCGTTGCAGCAGTTGAGCCAGCAGCACGGTATCATTATCCCCATCCAGGTCACCGGCCAACCGTTTGCATCATGGAACTTTTTAAGCACACTGTAGCTTGCAAACAAAGGAGTCTCTAAAAATACAGCTCTAGCTGCTAAACAACAGGGCACTTCTAACGTTCAGAACAGGTAATTAAACTTTCCAACAGTTTTTCTATAAAGCACTCGGCTTTTGAACACAGAAAATGTATTTTGTGGCACGTTCCAACCCCAGAGAGAATTCACTGTGCCCAGGGACTCCCTTCTGCCTGCAGACAGAGAGCTGACCCGCACACGCCCCTGGGTACGACAGCCAACAGTCGAAACCCACAGGCACAGACAGCACCTGGACTCTGCGACGTGGACTTCGGCATCTCTCCTTCTCCGGGTCCACCCCTGTTAGACTTAGACCTTCCTCACAACATGTAAGCTCACACCTTTCAAAAAATAAATGAGAAAAAAAACCCCAAGCCAGACCCCATCGAGTGGCATTTGTGTTGTTCTGTTTGCTGAAAAAACCGTATGCGCCTTGAGAGCAGGGCTCCGACCTTCACTTCTGCCCTCGCCTGCCTACTTTTTTGCCCTCACGTAAATAACTAAGGACAAACCACGACTGCTACGCTGCACTGAGTCACCCAAACTGAGCAGGAAAGCAGGTCACCCAGGGGCTGACCACATCTTCCGAGGCTGTTAGCTGAAGAACTCTTTTTGGTTTGGTTCGGGTTTTTTGCCTTTCTCCAGCTCAGTTTTACCCAGATATTGACCATTCATGAAATACACTTTCTGGTGTCAAAAGCATTAAACAGCACTGTAGCTTGGCAAACTAAGCTACACATAAAATACCTCTAAAAGTCATCAAAACCAAACAGAGACAGCTCTTACTTTACAACCATACTGCAGGGCTAGCTTGTTGAGATTATCATCCTCTGTAATCTCCCGTTCCAGAAGCACCACATCTCCGACTCTGTCCCGCAGGCTGCATCGCTGCTGCTCCTTGCCCCTGGGCCGCAGCTCCGTAACGTTGAGCTCCTCCTCGGACGACTCTTCGGAATCAGATCGGCCATTGGGAAACACATACACCTGCCTGCCGGGGTAGCTATGGATGGTGACAGGGGCCTGGAACGATCTTGTCCGGCTCTCATTCAGCCTCATCATCTATACCAGCACCTGGAACAAAAAACAGGACATTTTGAATTTCCTTAATATCAGCGTTTATTTCTTAGCGTGTCAGATTTGGCAGGAGGGACAAAAAGCACAGCAGGTGCACGCACGCACGCACAAAGGTCTCCTTCTACCCAGATCTTCTCAGGGGCAAATCCGAAAGATGCGAATCTAACAGCACTGACGGAAATAGATGTACACAGACTCCAACAATGGGTAGATTATTTTCAAACCTTTTTTGTCTGCCTGTGGACAAACCTCTACTCAACACTACTTTGTTACACATCTTAAATACTACTTTCTGTAACTTCATTAAAAAAGCAGCAGTCACTTGAGCAAAGTGTCTTTAATTATGGTAAAAAAAAAAAAATCCACAGAACCACATCAGAACTACCAATACACATTAAAAACTGACCAAAATTATCCTTTACGTCACCTATCCAGAAGTCCTCAGTTCTCTACACTTTATGAATCCACATTTTAATTTCATGGACGTGCATTTTCTTTTTTAAATAAGGACAGCTCAAGCTAGACTTAACTTCAACCTGAATGACAAGGTCATTTTGTTGTATAAAGAGAAGAACCTGCCTCAGCACTTTAATTATTGCTAGGCCTACAGCACCAAGTTATCAGGAAGCTTTTTTTTCTTCCTTCAATCCTCAGGTCCAACAAACAATTTGCTGTCAGGCTCAGGCACACATAAGAAAACCCCACATCCTCACACGGAACTCCATTGACCTTAATATTCTCAATCTACCCAGAAGGGATTCTTGTGGTGAAACCACCACCACTTCACGGCATGCCACTGGTACCAAGCATGGCACCCACAGGTCGCTGGCGGGGTCACAGCTGTGCTGGAAGAGCTCAAGAGGTAAGGCCACCGCCTCCCTGGACGCTCCTGCGGGACACTTCTGCCTCTTGATAGGCAGTGAGCCAGGGCCCTCCTCAGAGGGTGCTCCCCCGACGCACGTCGTCACTTATCGTTCCTACCCAGGGAGGGCCAAAACTCTCCTCCAGGCCGGCTCTGGCCGCCTCAAGGCGCCGG